ACTCATTCAGCCAGCAATTCTACTCATAGAGTACGGCCTAGTCTACATCCCTCTTCCTCACAGCTGAAGGGGTGAATATCCCTAGCTGATGGTCTACCTATGATAGGCAACTCACATCAGTGATCAGCCTTTACTACAGGCTAGCCACACACTGCTCGGAAGTCACTAACTTACCAACAAGTAAACCACCGAGGAGGCTATGGCTTTGGTCTGCCAAAAACCTATCTAAAAGGACAGACCATGATCACATCCTAAACAAACAAATCAAAATATTTTCACTAGTTAGCTATCCTATCTAATTAGGGAACCTGACTAAACCCTAACACTTTATTTTAGCGACCCTAAACTGGCTGAACGATCCTAATAAAAATTCTAAACATCACTACAAGTTCCTAACTATCTCAGCCTAAGCTATCTCCAACGTGCATGCTGCCACAACGACGACACAGGCTTGAACATCCATCGGACGATCACTGGGTTACATCACTATTGATCTCCCAGCTGCCTTAGTCCTCATTTTGCAGCTATCACGTTCCATCAGCTTCACTTGCTATCTTTAACCAAACAAAAACCAACCCACGTATAACGTCAACAACATATTCTAACTACATGTCCTCAGACATACATATGGTATGAGGGTATACCACATGAAGAATTTCTAATAATTAAATAAATATATTTTCCCAGAATGCAGACAGTCCTTGATCAACTGGAGGGATGAGCAGGAACTATTCGCACATCTGTATGTGCGAATCCTGTGATAATATATCTATCAAATTAAAAAAATATATATAAGAAAAACAAAAGTAAATGTTATCTATTTGATGGTGTATCCTCTCCTCCCTTGGCTGTAGCTCAGATGCATTGCGAGAGGTACTTTTAATAATATAAAACCGGGATTAACTTAAACTTTGGTTTATTTTATCATTTTCATGTCTAGGGTTACGAAACAATAATCTTAATATCATATGTCAAGATCTTCTATTTTCTTAACATTCTTTTTCAAAGAATTCTAAATACAAACTAACTCATTCAGCCAGCAATTCTACTCATAGAGTACGGCCTAGTCTACAGTACGTTCGGTCGTATTTGCCAAGTTTTATTGGAATCGGTTAACGGAAAGTGGGTGAAATCCAATGAAACCGATTCATCCCCCAATTTGTCACCTTTAGAGGTGGAATATTTTTTCAAATTTCAACGAGACGACTACAGCGGTATCCCCTTTCCAACAAAGAGAAAATAATTGAAATCAGTTCACAATTGTTGAAGTAATCGCGTAACATAGGTACACACAAAAAATACGGTCGAATTGAGATCCTCCTATTTTTAAGATGGTTAAATAAAATAAATAAAAAAAAAATCTTAGTACAAGTACATTTCAAGAATCGAGTCATAGACACAAACTTTTATTAAGTTAATTCTTTAATTGATTAAAAATTGTCACAGAAATTAAAATGTAAAGAACGCTTATCATAATAAAAATCAAAACTCAAAGAAACAATCATGAAAAAGCTAAGAACTAAATTGTATTTCCCATTGAAATAAAAGTATCTACTTCACTAATAGGTATTATTATTGACTACCTTATAATATATGTGTAGGCGAGAGGTAAAGTGCCTTAAGTCCGTATTTTGGAATTTAGATGTTTTTACAAACATTGCCTTAGGATGGTAAAAATCACGTACAGGTGAAATACATTTAAGTCGTATCGTCGTTTGTTTTTTATTTTATCTTAAGATTGATAGGCAACGAATATATCGCATTTTTTTTTTCAAATTATCCAACGTTTTTCGGCTGATTCATAAGATTGATTTTAAATGTCTAGTTAAGAGCCTCATTTTCTTTAAAAAGCTCTGTGGTATAAACTACTATTTGGCGCCTAAGGTTCCTCTGACTTACAGATATGTGATTGGTTTTATTCATATACACCATTTATATAAATGGTATGCTTTACTTACGGTCAAAAAACAAGCATTATCCATATTAGCAAACCCGCCCGCACTTAGACGCAACGGGCGTTGCGCGCGTATCAACACGACCAGCAAATTACGGCGAATACGCACGGGCATGCGCTCCCATTTGCTATTCATCACTGCTTCGGCTACGCGACCTGCCTGGAAAGAATCAAATAAGGAGGCAAAGGAATATTAACTCTACTTAAACATGTAGATAGGCTCTACACATAAATAGGCCTGTACCAGTTACTAATGAAAATAATGTACTAGACAACCACACTAATGATCCGCAGCTTGATTTTGATTGTCTCTCCCGATCGGAAACTAAGGGTCGTATTCCAGAACTCATAATTCCGATCGGAGTTGTGAAGCGCATAATTGCGATTCACAACTCCGATCGGAAACTTTGACATTTCAAATCGGAACAATAGTTGATTTAGCTCACAAATTAGAAAGATATAGTAGGAATCAGGTTCATCTTCTCGCTCGGAGACCTATCTGATTTAGAGACTCGGATGGACTCCGACTTGAATTAAAAAACACCACGTGCTGGGTCTTGGGGGCGCCGAAGCATTCTTCCAAGACCCAGCGGTGCCTATCCGTTTCTGGGCTCACCTCGCTAAGAAAAGGAGAGGAACTATTCTTACCTTCACAGCCTACTTCATAGCCTACTTGCATATTTAAAGTGGTGCAAATTTAAAAATGCAATTGAGTAAAATAAAATTTGTTCGACTTAGAATTCCGCATTCGTAGTATTGACAATGGTATAAGTAGATATCGTTGACATATTTAATTCAAGTTATAATTAATATCGTGAATATAATAATTTGATTGTATATCTGTCATGACTAATTAACTTCTAAGTCGAGCAAATTCTTTAAACACTTTTGTAAATTAACTACCAATCAGTGTAAAAACTAATTAGTAACCTGTTTTCTCAATTAACGCTAAGTGCAACCAATTATCAACTAACTTCAATAGTGAGTTCGTTTCCAGAGTAGCACTGTATAGCCAGTTGTATGGTCATCGCGACGAAGAACGAGAGTGACGTCACGAGCCGAATCGACTTGAAACTGGACGCGTCTCTCTGAGAACAAATTACTCATTTATATAAATTTCCAATCTGTAAACAACTCAGTAAACGTTGCACTAATCAAAAAATAAGTTTTCAACTCTGACTGGCACTTTTCCCATGCTGACAAATCGAAACAAAAAATGTACATTATTATTGATACGAAAAAGAAAAATCTGGTTTCACAAACCGACAACGTTTTATTGCCTCAGCAACGCTCATAAATGAACAAAATATAATGTCGTATGGGTGTTTTATTTGTTTATGTTTCTGAATGAAATCTAATTACATTTTTTTTTTATATTATGTAGGCAGCAAACAAGCATACGACCCGCCTGTTAGAAAGCGGTTACTGTCTCCTCTGAACGCTTGTAACACCAGAGGCGTCACGAGCGCGTTGCCGACCCTTTAGGACACTTCTCAAAACCCTTTTGAAGGACTCATTGCTGTATTCCTGCGGGAAAACCCCGACAGGGAATTCATTCGACAACCTAATTGTACGTGGGAGAAAGCTCCTCTGAAACCGTAGAGTACGAGATCGATTCGGTTCCAGAGTGTGAGGATGGACTCCCTGACGGTGGCGAGCGGTGCGATGATAAAATGTTGCTGTTGCCATCATGTCAAACTCGAAACATTGGCCATTGTTCAAGCGATTCAATATCGTCTGTAAGCACAGGATCGTCAACAATTCTCATAGCACGTCTTTGAACCGCGTCAAAGGGCCCAAGCTGGCATCCAGGAGCTCCCGCCCAAAGATGGCAGCAGTATTCCATGTGACGACGGACTTGTGACTTATAAAGTAGCAGTCTCTGCTCCGAAGTGAAACTTCGCTTCTCTTAGCCCTGTTGAGCACACCAAGCTTTTTGGACGCCAGCTTGAATTTGCCATCTAAGTGACTACGGAATTGAACGTCACAAGAGATGTCGACACCAAAACATATGTACACAGGGCGCACTATAAGTTCCGGAACTGGCCACTTACATAAACAATATTTAAAAAGTAATTACCACATTTGAAAATAGAACTCTTTGGCTATAGAATACAGTTTGTTTCATCTGACTGTCACTTGTTTTTACATTGTGGCGTCATTTTCGAAATTGGTTGTCTACATCACCATGGATTTAACTCGTGAAAATTTTCGTAATATGATTTTTTACGACTTTAAGTGTAATGTAAAAGCTCAGCGGAGCTTCCGTCGGCTTAAACTGCTTTTGGCGATGAACCACCATACAAGACAACTATTTATAGCTGGTTTGCAGAATTCAAACGCGGTCGTGTGAATCTCAGTGACGAATTTCGTGATGGTCGCCCGTCCACGGCTTGAACAACAAACACACATCGATGCTGTGTGCCGTATGATCAAAACAGACAGGCATGTGACATACCATGAGATTCGGGCATCATTAGGTATAGGCATGAGTCAAATACAATCAATACTACACAAAGTTGTGGGTGTGAAAAAGTTGTGCTCTCGGTGGACCCCACACAGTTTGACTGAAGCTAAAAAAATGGATCGCGTCACTTGGTGCAATGCCATGCTTACCATATTCAACGAAGGGGCGGTTAATTTGGTGTGGGACATAGTAACAGGTGACGAAACATGGATTTATAGTTACAATCCCAAAATAAAGCAGCAATCGAGCGTATGGGTCTTGCGAGATGAGCCGAAACCAACCAAAGTGGCGCGCGTGCAAAGTGCCTCTAAACGGATGATTACTTCTTTTTTTAATAAAACTGGACACGTGGCAACTGTTGCTTTGGAGAATCGCTGTACCGTGAATAGTAATTGGTACACGATCATTTCTTTGCCGAAAGGTATTGACAAACTCCGTAAAAATAACCGTAAACGCCATATCATCTTGCACCACGATAATGCCAAATGAATTTTTAAAGGTGAACAACGTTGACCTTATTAGCCATCCCGCGTACATTACCGACCGGGCACCTTGTGACTTTTATTTATTTCCTAAAATTAAGAACCAGTTACGCGGTCAACGATTTTCATCATCTGAAGAGGGTGTCGAAGAGTATGAAAAATATGTTTCAGAGATTGTCACGGAGGAGTGGCATAAATGTTTTCAAAATTGGTTCATTCGTATGAAAAAGTGCAATAACGCTAACAGAGAATACTTTGAGAAACAATAAATTGGTTTCTGACCATTTATAGTATTGTTTTAATTATTCATTCCGGAAACTTATAATGCGCCACACGTATAACATTTTTGTACAAAAAAAATCTCATAATTTATGGAATTACATCGACTTGCCAAGTTTCATTGAAATCGTTTAACGGAAAGTGGGTGAAATCTAATAAACCGGATTAATTCCCTAATTTGCCACTTTTAGAGATGGATGCAACCCTTAGAGGTGGAACATTTTATTTCAATTTAAATAGGACTACTGAGGTATCCCCTTTTCAACAAAAAAAAAAGAATAATTGAAATCGATTCACAAACGTCGGAGTAATCGAGTGACAAAAAAAAAACAGTCAAATAGAGAATCTTCTCCTTTTTTTAACAGACTTCAAAAAAAGAGGAGGTTCTCAATTCGACAGTTTTTTTTGTAGGTATGTTACGCTATCACTTCGACATTTGTGAACCGATATTGATGATTTTTTTTATTAGAAAGAAGGTACCTCAGTCCCTATTGGTCCCATTTAAATTTGAAGAAAATATTCTACCTATAAAGGTGGCAAACTAGGGGATGAATCCGGAATATATGTAATTCCATAAACTTTTGAGAACGGTTTTATTTATAAAAATGTTGTTTAATTATTTAAAGTCGGTTAAAAATACAGACGACATCAGCTAATTACTGAGACCCTTTTAATAATTGCCAGCACTCCCTCATTACTGGAAATAATGTAGTAGTAGAACACGTTGAGTACGTGTTATACAATTTCGTATTTTAAACAGACGAAAAACTTTACTTTGCCTGCTTATATTCCCAAAATGTCGTATATATTTTCACTCCAATTTATTTCATCCTAATTCACATATATATGTACCTATTTAACAAACTTAGAACTTCCTTATACAGATTCGTAAAATGTATGGTGTTATAAAAATCATCTTACCGAAACTTGCACCATAACAACGCAAATTGCCGCCATACTTGAAAGCAATTGAGTCATAAAGCCATAGGAGTAGGTCTGTTTGAATTTCTCTACGCAACTGTAAAAAATAATAAAAGTAAAGTGGATCTTGAATTAGTATTTCATAATTCCAGAACGCAAAAATTAAACATTTTCTTGACGTCAATTGGATTCTCATGCATATTTGTTAAAATGTCGAAACATCATGTAAATAATAAGAAGCGTGATTGGAACGTTCAATACGCTAAAATCTTAATAACAAATGGTATCGCCAAAAACGAGAACTATTTTACATCGCTATGTGAATACGAAAGGGGGATTACACAGAATAGAAGCAAGGAAAAAGCAACGAGTGACAATATTGGAGGCATAATCCCGAGATATTGCAGCGATTCCCCTTGAGCAATCTCATATTGACTGGGAATGGATATTTTTACACAAAGATCGTTTCCTGTCCACAAAGAGTAAATCCTAACTTCCAATAAGCAGGATTTATTACACAGCTTAGTATTTACATCATCTTCCTTCGTAAAAAAAATATTTTTATTGTAATTTGTAGTCCCCAGGTTCAATTTGTACAAGATACCGTACAAGTATCAAGTTTACAAGCATAATGCATTTCAATATCTTTGGAAACGAAAGGTGTGAATTATTTGAAATTCCATTTGATGCGAGGAAAATTGTCGATAAATCCTATGAAACTGATTCGCTACACCTACTCGATTCATAAGAGCAGTTATTTACTACTTGATAGAAGTTAGATTTTTCATGTTCCGTAATCGAGTACAAAGTTTTCACGTACCTATTGGACAAGCTCAAAAAATTTCATTTCATTGTAATTATATGAAAACAGTCAGGCAATGCAATTTGGAATTGAGTTTGTAGCGGCCGGACTTGCCTATTTATTTTAGGGATTGCAAAGTTTGGCTCGGGGCTCAGCGCCATTCGGCCTCCCAGTTAATTCACATTGCAGTTTATGGCAATTTAGCAGACGGTCCTAGCATTTGCTTGCCAAAAAGTTCGATGCACCTACTGAACTCGTACAACTCACAAATGCGTGTAGCTTATGACCGAAATATTTAAAAACCGACACTAAATATTTCTATACGATGCTAATGCATTTAAATTGATTATCAGAGTTAGAGGTTCTTTTGGACCAACCATCTTTGTTTAATTATTATAGAAAGGAAATCTTGTGATGCTTTTCTTCTAACTCGTAATTTAGAAGTTATTTTGTTGTTATTCTTTGGTGACATATATTATGAAATACACTTTGGGATCTGCTTTCGTAAGTGCCAAAACATGGCTTTAGTCTCGTAATATATTTATTTAAGGTATAAAAACCGGAGAGTTTCCAAAGTAATATCTTTATATAGCAAGGTAGTAAGTACGCAATAAGGCTTTTCTACTTTGTTAGCCTGATTATTTCGTTTTCATTATTCTTACGGCTTTTGCAGGCCGGGCTTAAATTTAATTAAAATTTAACTGTAACTGGGTTAAGCAAAACAAACAACACTGATTTATGGTTTTTAGTCTCCTTTTGTTCACTGTCGTTGAATTATTTATACCGACTTGCAATGGGCTACTTACCTGATGAGAGTCTGATGTTGACGAAAACAGTTTCTCAAAGTCGTCTCCAAAGCTGTTTCGATTATTTTTTCTGTGTAATGTTTCTTTACCATGGCTTCATATTTATGAGGATCATATTTTGTCTCCAATTGCGATGCTAAATTTCCTTCATCGGTTATATCCCTTTGAGCACCTTCATACATTTGCTTCATAGTACGATCGTAAGCAGTAGTTAATGCTTCTTGTAAAATAACAAATTGACAACTCATATGGAGTATGACCGACCCAATAAAGGTATCTATAGTCATCACAATATGTCCAGTCCATAGCAAACCTATAGTCTCTAGGGCGAAAGTTGGAATAAAGGACGCGTCTTTTTGATAATTCCAAGGAATGTAAATCGGTTGCGGTAATGTGCGAGGTCTTTTGAAAGCCGTGTCATTTAGTTTCGCTATTTCAGCCTTCCACCATATGTCTTGAAAAGCTCCATATACGCTTGCATTCGTAATGGTTGTCCAACCGAAGAAAAGAAAAGATGCCGTTAATATTCTAGAAACTTTGATGGTATGACGAGTTTTATTACTATTCTGATAAAATCTATGCAAGTCTACTTCCAAAGTATGCACAATGTCTTGAATTGCAGCATTTCTGAAGTAGAAAATACAGAGTTTTATCAAAGTGAGATCATGTGTAATGACAAAGGAGAGGCTGAACATAAATTTGTCCATGTCCTTTTCGCCGCCGACGAAGGGGTCGATTGTTTCGAGACCTACGAAGCCAACGACCCATACCAGCTGCGTTACAATGGCGTAGTACAAGTACCAGCCAAAAAAGTTTCTAGTATCGCCTTCATCGGGATGGTGCCACCAGCCAAGGCCTAGAAATCTAAGAAGAAAATAATGAAAACCAAAGTAACGTTTTGGACGATTTGGGTCGCACATGACGCCTGAAAGAGGTCAGATTTGTAAATGACGCTTATCACATAGTAGTAACACCTACCGAGCATCGTACACTCTATAAAAACTAATTGGGGTTGACATGACACCTCTAAATTCAGCAGGCAATTCATAAGCAGAAGCGAATAATATATAAAATTGTTATCCCTATTGGTGGCGGCAGAATGTGATGGTTTTTTGAGAAATAATTTTTTAGAAGCATTGACCTACCAATTTAGGTGTTTAAAAAACACTAAACATAGTTACAAATTTACAATCGACTATGTGTTAATTTTCATTTTCCATTTTCTACTTTAACTTGTTCTTTATCAGTAAAACAACAGTAAAAAATAAAACAATTCTTAATTTAAATCTAGTATGAATAGAATACGTTTCTGTACGGTGTGTTTCTGTCTACGTACCACTTACGTAGATACGTAGAAACGTACTTCATTTTAATTGTACGAAATACTTTATTAATTACTTAGTTTATAAAGCGGAGTGACGGGATGAACAAGTCGCAACAGTTGCAGTACCAATCAGAGCTTTAAATCGCAAAGTTCATAGGTGCACTGCCACTGGGCACGTCACCCTAGACATAAGTTGATAAGTCCCATGAGCCTGTAATTTCATCAGCATCTTTACCCTTCTAAACCGGAACGCAGTAATGCTCATATTACTGTGACGGCAGAAACAGGTGTGGCGGCAATACTTCCTTGGACGAACTCTTTCACAACGAACTCTAGGTGCTGCTACTAATTTGTTGAAATTGTTAATAATAAAGAAAAAAGCTGAAACTTCATTAGAATAAAATAAATTTTCGCTACGCCGATTGTATGCCGTTCAAATTTTATTAGGGGCCCGGTTTGGACAAATCATCGGCGGTGGAGGCAGCGGCGTGGCGGTCCGTGGCGGCACACATGACTTTTTCTTTCGTGGGAAAATCTTTCTAGGATATTTCTTCGCCGCGGGGGCAGCAGAGAGGTTATTGACTTCTACCGGCTAAAACCCCACGGTGGCCTTCTTGGGTACTAGTGGGAAAGATCCAGGATCGACTTTGCGCACTGGAATCCCCCAGCACTGAGTAGGAGCTACGTCCTCCCCCTCCGCTCCTCACGATGGAGCGGGTCACATCCCGCTCCGGCGTACTCCTCGCGACTGCCAAACTTACTGGCGAACGGAGCGCCCGTTCCGGTCACTCGCAGCCACTAAGGTACGCCTCCACCGAGCGGGATCGGCCTTCTCTCGATCACGCTCGGCGACCTCTTTCTGAAGCATCATCTCTTCACAGAAGGAGATCACTGCCTTATGGGACTCTTAATTCGCCAACATAGCCGCTACTAGGTATGCCTGGGGGAGAGAGATCTCGCCCGATCCGGGCAACGAGGATGTTCCGCTCGGAGGACCACGCGGGGCACTCCTCCAGCGTGTACTGGACGTAATCCTGGTCCCTCCCGCAGTGGTGGCACTGCGTCGTCGACTCGCGTCCGATCCAATTCAGATACTCACCGAAGCATCCGTGCCCGGTGAGTATCTGCGGCACACATATCTAATGCAAGGTGGCAACATTTTTCCATTAGCTGACTATTGGACGGTTTGTATTCCATAAAATACATTAACTATCAATAAACTATATATCTTGGCATTTAGTTTATATTTTAGGGTGTAGGACAACTTTGCAAAATGCACTGTAATTCGGAGATGGCTTACTGTACCTTGAAAAAATCTCTAACCTTATAGGGTTGTGATTAGACAAATACACTGGAAGGTATTCGTTTTTCTCGTTGGTGGATTGTGATATTGCTGCCACATTGGGTTATTAACCTCCTAAGGCCCCATAAACATCAAAATGTAAATAATATGTGCAGTGTTCAGACACAGACAATATTGTTCCTATGGTCACTAGAAGCCCAGTGTACATTATAATGATAATTTCGCGCTATATATTCTTTATTAACATAGAGTATCTAGAGTACTCGTTTTTCATATAAAACTGATGCTAAATTTCCTTGGGCTTGAAGCATGTAATTTCATTTAGTACATTATGGTATATTGGGTGTTTAGCGCTTTTACTATTATAATTTTTTGCTCCTAAGAGATTTAGAGATAGGCTGCAGTTTCAATAAGAGCTGTTGAGCTGACGAGGACATTAGTCACATGACCCCAAGTACAACTCGATGTAGGTACAGATTTTAGTTCAAACTACAGTTTATTTAATTACTTACTAGTTTAAGTGAGACTTCACAGTAACTTTTCAAAAATAAACTAAAAAAACTACTCAAGGGGGTATATATCCACATTCTTAACTTACGGTTTCGGAATGGCTACATTTTATTAATATTTATTTACTTAGAAATCTCTGTCTTTTCTGCTTTAACCCGAAATGAATATTACTTATCATTTGATTGCAGAATTAATTATTAATCAAGGACCGGAAAACCCCTTCATTTGATTAACTCTATCGATAGGGAAAGCATATTAAATGGCTATCCAAACGATATGTGTTACCCTATCGTTTGGTAATCTTTTAACAAGATTAACTATTTCTAATGCGCTTTTTGTAGGTAAGAGGTACACCAATAACCCCTTACCATTCCCTAGGTACCCACCACTAGGTAACACTAGGTACCACCCCTTTGAGCATACAACACATGCATACAGCACACGACGCTAAGTATTATTTATCTAACTTTCTGTCATCCTTTGAAGGGCAGAGCGGTTAGTGTTTTAAAATGCTCGATTCTTGGTGTTCTAAATTTTTTGGATTGACTCCATCACAGTGCTCGACTCATAAAGACAGCGACTACTGCTGGATCTATTATGAGCCTGTCGAGTTTCCGAATAGACTCGAGTTCGACGTTAGTGCTCGAATCTGTTTATGTAACGAAACGCGTTCGAGTTTCGCAAGTACCTGAGCGGTGTTGCGGTGTTATGACATATGATGTTAAAACATTTTTTTTCTAATACCTAGTGACTACGAACAAGTTGTGGGCCTGGTGGTAAACAACAACCTGAGCCATAAGTTGACAAGTCTCATGTGCCTGTAATTTCATCAGCGTCTCTACCCTTCAAAACCGGAACGCAGTGACGCTCACATTACTGCTTGGCGGCAGAAATAGGTAAGGTGGCAGTACTACCCTGGACGAACTTTCACAAGGAGTTTTACTGCTACTAAAGCATAAAAAACATAATAATTGTTTATTTTGTGTAATGATAAGTAAATAATAATAAATAAATAAATATTGCTCAACATTCTATACGTTGCTCTGATCCCAAAGTAAGTAACAAAAGCACTTGTGTACCACAACACACAAACCCGAGACAATAGGTAAGTGTTTATTTATATCGAGTTCTTAGGTTTTCGCGATTGTTACACATAGGAAATGAAACTATTTTTCCGGATTTAAATCGCGTATATTTATTTTTTCAAACAAACCGACGTTTCGGGCCCTTTACAGGTCCCATGGTCACGGTTGACTGAGTGGTACAGTCTTCAACCAGTTATGTCTAATATTAATGCAAACCACCCTATTTTTTCACTATAGTTACAATAGTTATTTATTAAATACCTTATTTTTAATTTTACAAAGAAAACATTCCAATTTATGCTACATTAAGTTTTACAAATTATTTTATTGAATGAATTTTTATTACGTTTAATTTATTATTAATTTTGAATAGAAATTAGAATAAACTAAAACATATTAATTAGTACTGCAGTCTTATGTCTGTTTGGGATTTTTCATTAGAGGAAATACTGGATCCCAAACTGGTGGTACGGAGAAACCATCTTCCCTGTTGAAATTAGGATGTTTTTTAATTTCAATGGCCTCTCGCAGCATCCTGGGTAGATAACGGACTTCTTTTGCAAGGACCTGGGGTTTGTCAAACTTCATTGAATGTGTAGGTTAATCCATGAGATGCTCGAAGACTGCCGACTTGTTTACGCGACGGTGTTTGACATCAGCTATTATGTTCTTTGACGCGGGTACAAATACTTCGCTTTGTTTGTCTAATATAAGAGAGACCGCACTCACAGTCAAGCTTGTAAACTCCTGCATCCTGCAAGGGGATGTTACATTTCACGGGTCTCAGGAACTGAGAAATCTTCCTCAGGGGCTTGAAATAGGTCTTGATAGATGCACGCCTGAGGACTCTTCCGATCTTGTCTGTAACACTTCTCACGTAAGGTAAGATGGCAGGTCTTCGCTCGACTGTTGGTGGTTTCACACGGGGCCTGCGGCGTTGGCGTGGAATCTTCAACTTATTCGTATGTAGGACTTGCTTTGTATGCTGAAGTTCCCCTGCCAGATGATTACTATCGCAGACACCATATGCTCTCTGAAACTGTATTTGGTGATTATAAGAAGAAAAATCAGACGAAACCATGATTTTTAAATCTCAAATTTCGTTTTTTCCATTTTGCAATATGGCCGCCATACAAGCGTTTTTTTGGCGGCAGATAAAAATTTGCTCTAATTCAACTGAAACCGGATGGATGTTTAATAGTAATTTGCGGTCAAAATGATGTTTTCTCCATTTTTCAATATAGCTGCCATACAAACTTCTTTGGCTGCAAAATTTGCTCTAATTCATGTGCCTATCAACAGTAACTATAGTTACAGCTAATTGAGGTCAGGCGCAAAATAGGTACATGTGAACGGTTTGTGACCATAATTTATCATTATGTACCTTAATATAAAATATTTAACATAATAAGTAAATAATACTTCTGTTTATTTTTTAATTTATTTTCTATTTATTTATTTACACTAAAATAATTTTATTCTAAATATTCTGTTATGAAATCACATTAAATTTAAAATTCGAAATGTAGTCAAAGGTTTTTTAACGAAAGAAACTCTTATCTTTATCTCATTTTTAGATGTAGACAAACAGCCGTAGTACATGGTACAATTCAAGACTAGCATATAGTAAAGTACGTTCGAAATAAATAAATTTAAACTGTTTAAGAGTCAAAACGACTCGCCGACACCCTTCTTGCCGTTCCGTCAATGTTGCAACAATATGCGGAGCGCGTGTGGTATCTAAAGGTAGAGAGGGGAGGGTTTCTCGTTACTTTTTATTCTCTGGCAGTGCAATTATAAGTCGAATGGATTGCGCGAAGAGTTTAAAATAGTATGACGGCGTTCTATAAACACTTCTTACCTTCACCCTAGTGAGGGTTTACGGTGTCGGTAAATAATTACCTGTCTACCTGAATCTACTAACTTACTGATTAAATTTGGCTGGTATTTCGTTGGGGTAAGTCAAAGATATCCTTACCGAATCAATAAGGTTTATGAAAACAAGTCAATGAAATACCCGATCGAATGCCCCTTTAATGATAAGCGGTTACGATCCTTATATAATATTAATAGGAAAACTATAGGTTGTTAAATAATTGTCATCGACTAATGAAAGGTTTGGGACAAGAGTCGCTATAGGCTTCAATTTAGGTGGAATATTATAATTCTAATACCTCCTATTTAGTTATGATGTTATGTTACATGAACGCCATATAAATATGTATGAAAATGAATACTAAGTATACATCGTGTAATGTTCTTTGGTATTGTTCCGTTTAATTCCCTAATGGGTAATCCCTTCGGTTAATGGTTTTAGCATTATATGTATAGATGACAACTAAAATAAAAAAAATAACCAATCGATGCATAGTTTATAATGCATATTGTATATTACCAATATCTTATTGAATAATGGTTAAAATATCGTCATATTTGATAATTATGTTTAATAAAATTTTCAAACAAATTAAATGATATTTCGAATCTATTTCTGTTATATACTCAATGTGAAATCCTCACTACTCATTACAAGCGTTGGGTAATTTTCCGGAATAAAAATTCAATATAACTATGGAATTTTCAGGAAAATATTCTGAAAAATTGTAAAAATAGAATTCGAAGACTCATTTACGACTTACGTTTAGATATATCTTTTAATTTATTCATATTCTTCTTCTTATTGTATCAATGGCATATACTATAATGATTGCCATCGTGGTGAAAGGATTTGCCAATCAGCGTAAGGTACGCGCCGATTGTTGCCCAGAGTGCGCCAGACATATAGGAAAGGAATAAAAAAATCCCAAAGTCAGTAGCTAAAACCCTTGTTTTATGGAAATCGGAAACAACGACGGCATCTCAATTACCCAGATCCGAAACAATATAGAAACGTTAGTTTTCTACACTGACCCGGCCGGGGATCAAACCCAGGACCTCAGAGATGGCGTCACCATGAAAACCGGCGTGCAAGCCACTCGACGAAACGAAAAGGCACATCGGTATCGTGCGGGGAGCCTCCTTTCGTGCACTCCTATTTATTTAATGTTTTATTTTGCATGAATTATAAAATAAAATTGTATAAACATTGCGAAATGAAATTTTTTAAGCCCTGGTTGGCTTATTTTTACAAATCATTATAGTAGAGTTCAGTATCTTCAACTTTTGACAGGTGTCACTGTCAAATATGAAAATATAGGAAAAATATTCAAAAAACATTTATTTTGAAATGAATGAAATTATTGAAATGAAAATGAAAATTGTTCCATGACTCAACACTATCTTACTACTGAGACCAGAATATTCATACATCTTCATATATATATCGTATATATTAGCGGTGTATATAGTAGGTACACCTAAATCCTTTTTTTTTAAAAGGTTTTACTCTAAATCCTGATTCCTAACGTAAGGTCCGGTGTATTTAATCCACTTCGAGCTGCGAGGGTTAATTAGCATAAAAAATAATGCTCTAAAAAAAATTGACAATATGTTTTGAAATTCCCTTCATCGGTCTTGTAAAGCTAATATAGTGAGTTAAATGGTCATGGCAGAAACAAAACTTGCTTTAAAAAAGAGTGAAAAAATAATCACAATGGCAGCGTCATAAGAGTTGGAAAAACTGACATCTCTAAAAGACGTGCGCGCGCATCCAATCTAGCGATGTAGCGCTTTATTCAGCATGGGTAGAATGCGGCCAGTACTCGTTCAATAATGCGTAATTCGTCAAATAAGATACAACGTTCGTTCGTATTTTCAGATTATGTTCGCGTAGTATTTCTGATACTTAAGGTTATAATATATGAATAATGATATAATATATAATGTTATAATATAAAAAGAGTCGTAAACAAACTAAAGTTTAACGCTAAAATGTAGCTGAATTACACTACTATGCAGAAATCTGAATATTTTTATTCAGTGCTTAGGACATTTTCTGTTCTCGTATCTCGTACGTTTTCTCCACTTTGTTTTTTATCGTAGCACGAGAGTGTCTAACTATAGCGCTGATTGATTTTTCTTTATGAATGTAACATTCTAAGGTTTGTGCTGTAGATAAACCTAAATGTTATCTTTCGTAATTTTTTTCTGTATACGCATTGTATACGTCTGTAATTGCATATTTGTCAGTAATAAGTATCTACTTTTAACACGGATAAACTTTGGGAAATAAGTACTTATTTAAACGCTACGCATTAATTGGATTTTCAGATTTTATTCTAATAAAATAAACACATTTATTTTACATTGTTGATTTATAGCGTAAACCTTTAGTATGAAAAATATTTTTATTATTGTAGCAATAAAAATCAGGATAAAGCAATAACAATAAAGCGCTATATAGCTGAGATTCAGCTGCCACTGATATCGTACGATTCGTAAAAACATAACCTCTAAAGCAACAGCGTTAAATATGCAAGCGAGACGACTTTGGTTCAGCTGTCTCAGTTCACAAGCCGAGAATTGCCGCGGCCACACGTTACCTACAGTGAATTTAAGAATTTTTATTTAATTTACAGAGTGGCATTCTAAATAATAAAAAAAACTAGTCAGTATAGTAACTAGGCTATGTTTACTTACGTCATTGTAAGATTACGGGTTTTAATAGGTCAAGTTTATTGAACCGCTGTGAAATTGATATAAATGTGGGTAAAATGAAACAAATGAAATTTCTTTTAAATTAGACTTATTATCAAACAAGTTTTGGTATTTATTACATAAACGATTGGATTTTTGACATTGTTGCTGTAGATAGAAAATAATAACGTAAGTACTAATAAGCTTTAAGCAACATATTTTATGCTTGGTTAATAAATTTTTAGTTGGAAATTGCCAGTTTAAATAATATATAATGATGTTTTGCAATAATAACACTAGAGGAAAATTATGCTTTACATAACGTCACATGCCTATGATTCAACATTAATATTAGGTTATCCACATTTTGAAGAGTTATATTTGCAGAGGTAGCAACACTGGGAATAAGAAATACAGTTAGTAGAAAATATGCGAAAATTTCCAAAATTGCCAACAGTACTTATCCTCTAAACTATTTTGATATTACTTTCAGTGTCGTATTTAAATTTTAATATTAAATTTACCCATGTCATTTTATTCAAGAAAAAATAAATATGTATAAAATAGGAATTATATTTTACGACTCGCCGCAATCAAATATAATATAAATAGATTATTTGTACAGCCATGTAAATAGCTTTCGGTTTTATATCTTTTCGACTAAGTACCACTTAATTACAAACTAAGTATTATATGTAAGTGTTTCAGTGTATTGAACTTTAGATTATGCATTAACCGATTCTACAATATCTACGTATTTGGTTCTAATTTTAAAATATTCGGAAGTTGTTTTATATTTTCTATACTACATTATTTATTTATTTATTTATTATGATATCAAGTGATGGGACGAACATGACGTGCGCGAGGCGGTAAGCAACATGCCTGTCCATAGGATTTCCAGTGCCACTCAGAAGTTTAAATCGTAAAAAATTAAAGCAGCCTTTCCCAAAGTGGGCGATAACGCCCCCTTGTGGGCGCTAAAGGCCTAAAGTGGGGTGGTAAGAGACCCAGAAAAAAAAGGGGGCGTTGTGTAGAGGCTTAGGGGGAGATTTGTAATTTCATCTAGGAATACTCTAAGACACCGACTGAGCTCTCGACTCTCGACTACAACTTGTGAACATCAACTAATATTATTAAAATGAATGAAAAATGTGAGGTGGCGTTACTTCCCTGAGCGAACTCTTTTATTAGTAAAAGACTGCTACTGCTACTGCTGCTATTTACAACGAACTTGATAGCCCAGCGGTTAGAGTTGTGGGCACTAGACAAAGCGACATGGATTAGATTCCCGTTAAATACGGAAATGAACTTATTTAAATTGGTTCTGGTTTGGTTGTTTTGGATAGTCTTAGCTGAGACTTTGGATAGTCGTAGAGCTTCGTGTGAAAGAGTACGTCCAGGGAAGTACACCACACACCTATTTTTGCCATTACCGCGTTCCAATTGATCGAGAATTGACTTAACATAAGTTTGTGTCTATAATTCGATTCTTAAAATTTACTTTTACCAGAAATTCTACTTTTTTGCGAATTTGTTCATCCGTCGCATTAATGTTCTTAAAGAGATTATAGGAAATGAAACAATTTTCTACTATTCAACAAAATCAACGACGTTTCTGGGCCTTTACAGGTTTCTGGGCACGGCTGATACGAAAAGCATTGATTTCCAATAATGTAGTCTTCTTTACAGGAATTTTGGTAGCAGTAGAGCCTTTTGTGAAAGAGTTTGTCCGGGGAAGTACTACCATCTTACCTATTTCTGCCGCCAAGCAGTAATGTGAGCATTACTGCGTCCCGGTTATGAAGAGTAAGAGCGTTGATGAAATTACAGCCATATGTGATTTGTCAACTTACGGTTCAAGGTGACGGTGGTAGTGTCTCTTAGATCTTTGCGTTTTAAAGTTCTAAGTGGCACTGCAACTGCTATGGACAGGTATGTCGCTTACGACCAGGCGAACGACTTGTTCGTTCCGTCACTTAGTATCTAATTAGAAAATAGTGCCCCGGAGTTAAGTTCGTTGGCTGGCTAAGAACAGGGAACACACTAATTGCCTGGTCTCTACAACTGGGGAACTAGTTGTAGAGTCCAGACCATTAGTGTGTTTTTCACGTTTTAGTTATATTCTATATACACGTCCATTTTATTATGTAATGTTAAAATGAGCAGAAATTTGAACAATATATTACATTATGGAGTACTCGAAGGTGAAGGGCCGATAAACAATCGCTCCTATTGATAAATAATGGTCAAGTTAAAATCTTTCATATATTTGTCGATTAAAGCGCAATTACAGATTAAAAACATCTTACGAAGTTGAAGTTCAAAACTTATAACAATGCTAAGAGCATTTTAAGTAAAGGTCACGTTTGTACACTTTTCGTCCTGTTACTTGGTATAAAAAAAAACTGTTAAACTAGGTTATTTCCTGTACTGTGAGTACCAAAATAACGAAATTCTCTCTTAGATACTAACTCAGAATGCCCAGACAAGATTTACAATAATTGTTGTCTAAATAAAATTGTCCTACCGGGACTTTCTTATCTATAGTGCAAAGAGTTTTAAGCGCTGGGTTACCGAAATCAACAAATTCCTTTATGATAGATTAGCGATACCTTAAGTAATTTAAAAATAAACAATTACCACTCGGGTAACAACAATTTCAAGGCACGTTTATAAATATTCCATGGCCGTTACAAGTATTGTTCATAAATATAATGGCTTAAAAATGTGTATAAATATATAAAGTCGCCTCATAGTGAAAATCTCGCATACGCGTTTTCACATAGTTCGTTTTTACCGATTTTTGTCGAAGAAAAATTTATAAATGTCTTGCTCAAATATATTTTTAAAATAATATATAACCTGAAAGAGGTATAATTTAAATAATTAAAATGCTAACTACAAACACTATTACATTTGCTGCATTTTGCACCACATTTTTATCTTCGTCCTGAAAAATAGAAATCACATACGAGGTATTCACTCTAAGACGTCGATAACTGATTTCTTAAGGTGTTTTAAAACCTAATGATACTCTGGTAACCATTGTGTTGAGTCACATTTATAAATATTATGTAGTCGCTACAATACTTAACTGTAAATTAAGACCGATTGGATACGGGCAAGATCGCTTCGTAAATAGAAATTTCGTTCGAGACTGTAATTAAAATGATTGAATCAATTGGTTCGTCTGAATACGGACATTGTTTTCCAATCCACAGATTGCAGTAGATATATGAATGTCATTTGCTTACATTAAGTACATATCTTACTATACTCATGGATATATTTATACTAGAAAAAAGGTTGATTTATAATATTTAACAACACTCGTATCAAAGTTTAGTCGAAATTCTTTTTTCAAATTCAACGTAAAAACACTAAACCGGCATTATCTGATATTTTTACAGCGAAAAATGGCACAAAATGTGTTTGGGGCGTGGGACTATTCCATAATGGCAGCCACCATGTTAATTTCAATTGGCATAGGGCTATATTTCCGATTCAGCGGAGGTAAACAGAAAACCAACGAGGTAAGTTCCGAATAACTGTCCACTTTTAGACAAATTGATATAGTTGCCAAAATTATGTACGTAAAGATCGATATACAAATTAGTTAAAATTTCTTTTAATAACCCCGCTTTCTACTTTTACAAGCAGTTTGTCAGAAAAAAAAATCGTTTCTGTGCTCACAGAGGTTATCTTTGAAGTACCTATGTACCGTTCCGCTAAACACCGGGCGTGTGTGGCTTGCCCTTAATTCAGCGAACATTACTAAGGGACAGTGTTCCGTAACTTTAGTCCAGTATAGTAGTGTACTTTTTATGCGATAAACTTGAAAATTAAAAATATATTAATCATACGAACTGTTCATGCGAAAATGTTATTGTCAACTAACGCCTAATTCGGTTACAGTCACTGCCTTTTCTTATTGATTTTTAAAAAATATAAAAATAGGTCTCGGTAAGAGAAATCGCACTTTGTTTTTTAGATCTTGTATGTACAACTATAGTACGCCAGGGTTATTTATGTAAAGTGATCAAAATTAAGTAACGAAAGTGTTTTCTCTTCCCAGGAATACCTCCTTGCAGATCGCAATATGTCTATACTGCCTGTAGCAGTTTCTTTAATGGCATCCTTTATGTCAGCGATCACACTGCTCGGTGTGTCTTCAGAGAATTATTATTATGGAATGCAATTTGTAGTCATTAATTTTGCATATGGAATAGCTACACCAATTATCAGCCAGTTATATCTACCAGTATTCTTTGGACTCCAAAAGACAAGCACTTATGAGTATTTGGAGCTCAGATTCGGCACCCATATAAGATTGTTGGCCTCCCTGACATATACATTACAAATGGTGCTCTACAATGGCATTGTGTTATACGCACCAGCAATCGTCTTAGAATCTGTGACTGGGCTGGATAGATTGGTATCTATACTAGTAGTTGGATTAGTATGCACATTCTACTCGACCCTAGGTGGTATGAAAGCAGTTCTATTCACTGATTTATTCCAATCTGCTCTAATGTTGATTGCTGTGTTCAGTGTGCTCATATTTAGCTCTATTCAAGTTGGTGGGTTGGGTCAAATGTTCGAAATTGCAAAAGAAGGAGGACGTTTAGACTTTTCAAAGTAAGTTTAATTTTGGAATGTAAATACGTTGATAGCTTTAAGTACTGAATAATGATAGATAATTATGTTCTTATTATCTCAGTTTTAGTATAGACCCCACAGAAAGACATACTTGGTGGTCTCTGGTCATCGGAGGTATGTTTACATACATGTCGCTGTATGGAGTTAATCATACACAGGTGAGTTTTGCAATCGAATGTAGATATTATGTCTTTATTCTGTGTTATAACAACTGAAGAATAATAATAATAGGCTTGCTGAGAACACTCGTTTCAACATTAATGAAAATGGGTCTTAAATAACGCACTTTAAATACAAAAAACGTGATATATTCTAAGGACGGGTTCTACGTAAGATATTTTAGTGGTAAATACGTACAGATAAATCAAAACGTATTGCTTACTTTAACGGTGAGTATATTTCCATGATGACGCAGGAATATTTTCAATTGGCATGATAACGCTGACATCGAATGCTGTAAGTTTTTAGGTCAGTAGATTTGACTACTAAATACCTATGGCAATAACAAGCGTACATTCAACAAAAAAATATGAAAGCAATTATGTACTTTGCCTCACAGACATGATAATTTTGTACATACTCCTTTTTTGAAATGAAAATGAAGACCTTAAGTGCTATGTAACCTCAAATGGCTTTGGTTGATCCCGCATAACAGTGAAAGCGTTAAATTAATCACTTTGGTAAAAATATTTAATAGGGGTTAAAGTATGAAATTGCCGATTTGTACTGAAAATCTAAATTGTTTATTTTTTAAATTTTTAACAAATTTATTTAATCAAAATAGTTGCCATTATTATCTATACATTGCTGCCATCTAATGGGAAGGTTATTAATGCCTTTGCGATAGAACTCCGACGATCTAGACTGCACAAACTGTGTGAAAGCATTTTGTACTGCCTCCTGGGAAGAAAACTTCTTGTCACGTAGATAATTGTCCAAATCACGAAAAAAATGGTAGTCCGTTGGAGCAAGGTCTGGTGAATACGGAGGATGACGAATGGTTTCTAACTGCAGTTCCTGAAGGGTCAAAATGGTTTCTCGTGCTGTGTGAGGTCTCGCGTTGTCGTGGAGCAATAATGGTGAAGATCGATTCATGAGTCGGGGCTGTTTTACTGCTAGTTTTGTCAACATGGTTCGGAGTTCGGCACAATAGACATCTGCCGTTATTGCTTGACCAGATCGGAGAAAACTATAGTGAATAACACCATGCTGAGACCACCAAACAGTTACCATTACCTTTTTATTGGTAAGTTTTGCTTTAGGACACTGTTGTGGCATTTGACCTGGGGTCAGCCATTGCATTTTTCTTTTCCGGTTATCATAAAGAATCCACTTTTCATCACATGTTACAATTCGATCCAATATTCCTTCATTTCTGTACCGGTTCAACAAGGCAACACAAGTTTCAACACGCGTTTCTTTCTGCAGATCAGTCAAATCATGAGGCACCCATTTTTCGTATTTTTTTATTTTATTGATTTGACGCAAGTGAGTCAATATTGTGGGTAAGGTAACGTTAAACCATGCCGCTAATTCCTGGGTAGTTTGACTAGGATCGGCTTCCACTATCTCTCTTAATTCATCGTTATTCACCTGTGTGGGCGGTCTTCCTCGTGACTCGTTCTTTAAGTCGAAATTTCCATCACGAAAGCGTTTAAACTAAAATCGCACGGTGCGTTCATTAGTAGACCCCTCTCCAAACGCAGCATTGATATTGCGGGCTGTTTCTGCCGCGTTAGTTCCGCGTCGGAACTCGTATTCAAAAATCACTCGAATTTTCGCAGTATCCATCTTTCTTGTCTAAATTGAATAACAAAAACAATTGAAAGTCGATATTCAAATGTTTCAAATTAAAAAAAAAAATAAAAATCACAGAAACCATTTGAAAAAAGTTTCATTCGAAAACCTCAAACCATGAAGATTCTATGAAAATTCAAAGAACCTATTGCAATAAAACGGCAATTTCATACTTTAACCCCTAATAGTAAAATTGAGGATATAATTATATACTGATATGGGTACTATATGGGTGTGAAAACACGATTCCTAAAAATGTTCTCGATCGAAAAAAACAAACTTACCTCGAAATTATTACAAGAAAACCGTAGTATTCAATAGGTACTTTACATATACCAATGATTATTTTTATATCAACTGAACTAAATAGAACACATATATATATATATACGATATACACTGTTCAAAAAACTTTATTTCGTTTGTAAAAAATAAATTTTGATATAAAGCCTTGCCGCTCGACCCAAGCAAAATTAACCCTATTAGTATGGGAAAAATTTGAATTCCAGTTGAGGTAGTATCGACTCTTAATACCGGTTTTTATTTTTATGTTTAAGGTATTGCATATTTTCTTTTTATAATATCAAGTGACGGGCAGAACAAGTCGTGCGCCTGATGGTAAGCTACACGCCTGTCCATAACGGTTGCAGTGCCACTCAGAGCTTTAAATTGCAAAGATCTAAGGGGCACTGCCACTGCGCCCGTCACCCTGAGACATAAGTCGACAAGTTCTATTACTACTAAATTTAATTATAATTAAAAATTTATTAAAATTTTAGAATAGACTCCTGCTTACTAAAGGTGTGTGTGAAAATAGCAGTTGGAATACAGAAGGAACAACTGAATTGCATTTCACCATGGCTGCTCGATTAGCATGCTCGAGCCTTCATCCAAACTGCTTATCAGTTGCGGCAGTCCAGTCTTTAGCTTATATGACTAAGGACTTAGAAAACATTTTCCTGTAAACAGGTCCAAAGATTGCAGACAGTAAGCACACTCAAGCGATCGCAGGCAAGTCTCTGGTGGAGCTGGCCGGTTCTATCCATCCTCAGTGTTTCCACATGCATGAGCGGCATCGGAATGTATGCCGTCTACAAAAACTGTGACCCTTACATGAGTAAAAGTATTTCCACTGTGAGTAAATACTCATTAGTTATGCTTTAAATGTAGTACAGTTGGATGTGTAATGAATGTATCATATAAATATTTTAACCTGACGCTCATTTAATATTATTCATATAATAATTCACTTAATACAACAAACATTTAATAAAAACTTACTATCTATAATTTTATTTTTAATTGCAATCATCAACCTTAACACTCATTTTAAACTATAAGGTTATACATATATGTTTACATATCTAAATAGATTATTAAACTTTTTTGACGATATATAAAATAATTATGTATGTTATTATATTATACACGTTAACTAAAGCTTTATATAAAATATCATAAAGTTTTAATATTATTGCGAATGAGAATTATGTGAAAATAAGTTATACGAAGTTTATTTAGTTCAAATGAAAATGATATTAAATGAGCGTTTTATCATTTAAAATTACTTTATTTGATATTTACACAAGCAAAGCGCACCCAATACGGTCGTCGTCGATAGTTGTTACTTGATTTGATGTAAAATTGACTACTTTATTTACATAATATTACAGGGCCAGAGTCGCACTTATTTCTTCAGTTATACATTTAAATATAAAGTTTTATATTTGAAATTATTTTAGTTTCATTCTCTTTTCAGATTGATCAATTAATGCCCTACTACGTAGTAGACGCAATGAGGTCTGTGCCAGGTTTAGCTGGGCTTTTCGTGGCAGGGATATTCAGCGCTTCTTTGTCTACAATTTCAGCTGCTTGCAACGCATTGGCTGCTGTCACCCTGCACGACTACGTCAGTAGGTGTGAAATACTTTTAAATACACAAAATTTTATTAAACTTCTCTTCGTATCACTTAACTCTCATATTGACTCTACAGTCCCAGTACTGTGGTAAAGATAATGTTAATTAATATTATTATATTTTTAATCATGCGATCATGAATGGTGTACTTTATAATAATTCAGTGGGTAAGTATATTTCTTTATCTTCGACACACACATTAACTATAACCGTAAATTAAAATTTCAAGTACCTACAATACTGCCGTAAGTGACAAGTGGTCAAATACCCGTTTCAAATAGCAGAAGATAGAGCACAAAATTCTCTTTTATGAACAAGTAAATTTAGTTAACGTATTCAGAACGTTATTCGTTAACGGAACTTACCCTAACGATGCATAGCTGAAATATCATACACTTTCAATATTCTAAAACTAGGTTATGATTTTTTTGATATGTCAAAAAATATTTTGTCACTTAGATGCGTTGTAATTAGTGGACGGCAGGATAAGAGTAGTGGTTTTCATAGAAGATATGCCTGCAGACTTATACTCTGAATGTTATAACTTGGACCTTTTCAAGGCGAAAGTGATTAGGCTTTATTTAGATAATACTCCATCGTCGACAACATCATCACTTCCCATCAAGTGAGATGTAGGTCAATAGCTTATATTTTACATTTAAAAATAGATATAATGCAGTATTATATTCTTGTACCTCACCTTTATCACCTCTATAATCTGACTCTTTCCTCTTTATCGCTTTGATTATACGTGTTAGACATATATTGCAAAAATAGGTATTAATTTTATTCGTCTTTAGGTGGTGCACAGTTCGTCCGTCCATCGAGCCTTGGCTTACAAAACTAGCCGCCTGCGCATACGGACTTGTGTTCTTGGCTTTAGCCTTCATAGCTGAATATCTTGGAGGAGTTCTTCAGGCTGCATTGACCATTTTTGGAGCAGTTGGCGGACCATTACTGGGTGTTTTCAGCCTTGGAATATTTACAACTTACGCTAACGAAGCTGTAAGTTCATTCGTATAGATATTTTTACATTTTTAAATTTAATTATTCTTAATTCTATGCTGAGTATTAGTTACTAAGTTTAGGCACCGATATAATAACTATAACTAACTATAAGGTTTATAAAAAAAACCTCGAAAGTACGTGGAATTACACCTATTTGCTAAGATTAATTGAAATCGATTACCTCAAAGCGCGCGAAACCGGGTTGATCCCCTAGTTTGTTACCCTATCAGTAGGAATATTTCCTTCAAATTTAAATAGGACCAATATAGAGGTATCCTCTTTCCAACAAAAAAGAATCATAAAAATTGATTCACAAATGTCGGAATAATCGCGTAACATAAACACACACAAAAAAAGTTGAATTATGAACCTCCTCCTTTTTTGAAG